ATGACCATGGGAACAAGGAATCCTTTGGCCTTCAGCTCCCTTATCTCTAATATGGAGGAAGGCTAGACCAGAGGATCTTGAAGATATCCAGCAGGAGCAAAATTTTAGAGGACAGTTGAGTTCCAGGAAAAAACAGAAAGAGGGAAAATGCAGGAAGGAAGAGACAAAATGAGGTGTAGGTCCTACAATAGGGTTTTGGAAAAAAGGCCTTACTGAGTTTTATACACCTCCCTTAGGGTTTGGTTTAAGCGGTGGGGATGGAAGTGACAGGTTGGCATTCTCCTCCCCAGCAGGGGCTGGTAACCAGTAGCAACAGTAACAGCTTGAAGGGTGCCCACAAGTGGAGGGCTCTGTCACTTGTGGGCTCCGATGATGACCTATGTTTCATCTTTCTTCTTCTCATTCTTTCATAGAATATATATGCTTACCCTTGATTTTTCTTATCGTTCGGTTTAAAATGACCTCCCCACATACATTTTTGGGGTCATAGTTTCTATCAAAAATTATAAAAATGGGCATAAAACGCAGGATTTCGTTTTTTCAAAGAACACGCCAGCCAAAATAGCATATCAAAGTATTTTTTGAATGTGTGGAAGTCTAGTGCCCATTTAGAACCGGAAAACAAAAACATCTTACAATATACACTTCTGTTCACCCACCTCTCAAAAGTAAAAGTCTTTAAAAATGATTTTGGTAACCAAATTATATTACAGCCAAAACAAGTAAGCACTAAGAATTTACCCCAGAAAAAAATGTGGTACTGAACCAGGGAGATATTTTTAAATCTTTGTTTTGGCTTTATGCATATTCATTCATTCAGCAAGATATTTAAGCAGCAGCCTTGGAGCCGGACTGAGAGGTGCCGCCACGCATACAAGGGAGGAGAAGCCAGGACGGAGGCACGGTGGAGCGGGATCCGACCTGGCTGTGGAGAAGGAAGAGAAGTCTGAGAAGCCATGGCTGCACTCACAGGAGGGAGATCAGCAGAGCGCTGTCAGGGAAACCAGGGAAGAGGGCAAAGGAAGGACGAAGGGGCCAACTGCGGCAGATGGCTGCAAAAGAGGCGAGGAGCGGGACCTTGGCAAGAGGGGCAGAGTGGGGACAGCGGCGCGGGCAGGTGAGACGAGATGGAGTGAGGAGGCAGGGAGCGGTGCAGACCTCACTTGTTCTTAGGACATGCCAGAAAGAAAGAGAACAGGCTCTTTGGGGCTGACCTTCCGGGTTCCCATCCCACCCCTGTTATTCATTAGCTGTGTCAGTTTCCATTTCCTTCCCCAACACTGAGAACAACAACAGTCCCTAACTCGTAAGGAGTGGGTTAACTAAAAATCTTGCTTCTTTATGATTCTTGACGTAGCTATCTACAACAAATGAGAAATCAAAGATACTCATGATCATGAAATTTTTAAGTAATTTATTTAGATTTTGTAAGATCTCTCAAGAAATTCATGGAAAAGTTATGATTATCTAGTCTTTTTAATGACCCAGGAATATTTTACGTACTTCCTCTTTTTTACTTCTCTACTATAAATCTCTTTGTAGAACTCACCAGCAGCAAACTTTTTAGCCTTTTCTATGTTTAATAGCATAATTTTATATATATTTCCTTAGCTGATTTATCATCTCATTATCGCTAGCAGCTTTACTTAGTACATTAATGATACAGAAGGCATGCTTATCTTGTAAAAAGAACTAACTCATGTTGGCTGCCCCTGCGACTCCTGATTTATTATTCTGCAGAATTACAAACTTCTTAATATGTTTAAGTCTTGATGAGAACCAAAGTCAAGATCAGCAGTCTATAGTTTGTAGAACTTTCCTTTCCTAATAAATTTGCTCATTTTTTAATTTTGAAGCACCTCTTCTCTTCACTAAAATTCTTCTTTTTTGTAAAGTACACATGATTTTAAATTAATTAAGCATCTTTCTAAACCTGTAAAGAAACAAACTCCAGAAAATCAAAGCTGCCTTAATTCAGAGGGGAAAATGAGAACCGCTGGAAAACAGCTAGTGTGTGGTGTACTGCGGTATAGTCATTAGCATTTCAAATTCTAAGTCACTTTTAACTGAGAAAGGCCCAATAAAATGACGAATCAGGACTTGAGAAATTAAGATTTGAAATATAGAAGAGCATAGCTCTCATTAGATTAGCTTGAAAAGAAATTAATCTCAAAGCAGCACGAACAGTCATGAGAATTTTCAACGACTGCGAAACTGTTTCCTTGGGTCGCGGTTTCGGCACACTCACACACAAAAACAGGCTCTTTGTATCTCTGGGGCCCAACATGTTTAAGTTATTTTCCAGTGAGACTGACGAATTCATGCTTCAATCTTAAGTGAATATAAAGCTTACAGACTTAGGAGAAGGAGAAACATCCAAGGGATGAATAAGCCAACAGAGGCACCAAAAAAAAAAAAAAAGGGCACACTGAAGATCAGCGCTGAGAGGATCGGAGACACACACGGGCAGACACACACTCCAGTATTCTCCTCATTCGCCACGGTGATGTCATTAATGTAGTACCAGTGAGTCAGGTATCTGAGTTCTTTTTCCCAGGGCATAAAAATAGGAAAAAAGCGTCAATTGTGAATAAGTGTTCAGAAACATGACCAATACTGAATTCCCAGACCTTTTAAGAAACAAGATAAAAATGTATTTGCTGGGGCGCCTGGGTGGCTCAGTGGGTTAGGCGTCTGCCTTCAGCTCAGGTCATGATCTGGGACTGAGCCCCACATTAGGCTCCCTGCTCAGCAGTGAGTCTGCTTCTCCCTCTGCTCCTACCAGGCTCGTGCTCTCTCTCTCTCTCTCTATCAAATAATTAAATAAAATCTTTAAAAAAAATGCATTTGCTGACTTGCAGATAATGAAGTAGTAAAAAAAATTCAAATTTCTCACTTTTAGTTACATATGTAAACACTTGGGTAGAGATATACAAAAGGTGGAAAACTCCTAATTCTTTGAAAAAAATCACTGAATTATTGGGGAAAAAATTTCAAACTACTGTCTCTCCAAATTGAATTTAAGAGTACAAAAGCAATCTGCTAGTTTAGCCATAAAACAAATGCAAAGCCTTCTACACAGTGGGGCAGACCATGAGTGCTACTGGTACAATAATCTTCATAATACTGGGCCTACTCAACTCAGTAAGTATGAAGGCTTATGGAGAGGAGTTCACAAGATCTGACCCTACAGGTTTATTAAATATGCAGTGAATATTCCGCATGCATGCTGGGCATTAAATAAAAAATGAAAAATTCAAACAATGATGATATGTTAAATACTGCAAATAATACTGAATGAGATCTATTTATAATTAAGATTTTCTTTAGTCATTTTTGACAGATACAGAAATAGAAGAAATATGTTAAGGTAAAACTTGAGTTCGTTTACCAAATATCTAAATATTTATAAAGTCTTATCTTTTTACTTTTAGTTTATATTCATTTATGATGTAAACCTTGCTAAGCTTATAACCTCAGAACGGCTTTGATTTTGCTAGTATTACAATGTCATCCACCTATAGCTGCAGCACAACTATTAAACTGTACTAATAAAATGCCAAGCATCTAGAATGGAAAGAAGAGAAAAAAACTGGAAAAAATATAAACACCTAATTTCTGGTTTTAAGCCAAAGATGTAGCACATACAGGGGTCAGGGAAGAGTAATCATCCATACAGTGTGCTCTAAAGTTTCCAGCAAATGTCCTCCTCGACTTCTGACCTCCAGAGTAATTGACGGCACCTACACTGTACTTCCATACCTCTACATGAAAATGAAGTCAGACTCCCTAATAAGTGCCTCTTACCAATTTCCTTACATGGTTTAAGAATTACTAGCAAATATGTCCAAAAGGCAAGTCAATCCAATAAAACACAACAGGTCCAGAAGACGGTAATTCTAAGGTATCTGGGATTGCTCCCACTGCGTGCTCCTTCTCTATGTGACAGACCATCTCTTCCTCTGGCTCATTCTGAGCTCCTCTGCCTTCTTCATCCTGCATTCCCCAATGATCACCAGGTCCCGAAGACTCACTTCCTAAGGATTTCTTTCCTCTTCTACTGTACTAGCCCAGGTCCGCACTGCCTCTCACCTGATCCATTCAACTGCCCTTCACTGGTTTCTGGCAAATCCATCCTCCACAAAGTGACCAAAATCATCTAAATTGTAAATCTAACCACTACTTGGCTTAAAATCTTTTAGCAGCTTCGCATTTTCTATAGATAAAATTCAAATCTTTAACCTCCTCAACCTCTGATCTTGCCACACAGGCAGAATTTAACTAGTTCTGTTCCCTCTCAATTTTTTTCACGGTTGTCCTCTGACCTGAACGAGAGAACAGTTCTCGTTTCTCCTGTCCTCCTCACTTGCCTAAATATAACCTATCTCTCAAGGGATCAAGCTCCCGGAATGCCTTCCCACTCTGCCCCACCCACTCCCGCAATCCTCCGCACATTTCTAGCAGGGAAACAACCACACTGCGGGACAACGGATTTCTTTATAGGCCTATGCCTACCAACTGGTTGTGAGCAACTTAAGGGCGGGAACCGGGATTTAATTTAGTTGTGACTGGAACATGGGGGTTCAATAAATATTTGAAGCAGAGATAAGGAATAAATGGATTAATGAAAAGTGGAGTGGCAAACCAAAACAGCGCTCCGGTAACATTCAGGGTGGTATTGCAGTGCCCCCCCCACCCTGAGACTGGGAGCCATTGCATAAATCCTGTTCCACAGCTAATCCAAACTTAAACATCAGTTACTACTAAATGAAACTCTTAGTTTCCTGTACTATTTCTTATATTCCCGACAACAAAGAAAGAAGGTAAAGAAAATACTACCATAGTCTAATCTTAACCACAACAGAGGGGAAATCTTAAACTCTGGAAGACTTCTAGAACCTCTGCATTTGATAATAAAAACAAGTCCTATCTGTTGAAGCTTCCAATCCGCTTAGGGGAGCTGATGAAACCTACCCAATAAGCTACATCAGACTACACACCTTGAGTCCAAAGGCGGTATCCTCCGAGGTCAAGACTTCAACCTGAAATCATAAGGAAAAAATAATTTAGGCACTCTCAAAAACGTTCTTTGAGTCTAGCCATAGACACAGGCATGGCCTGGAACTACGAGTTTGGAGAAAACTAGTATTCAATTTACGTCAGACATCAAGAAAGACAGATCTGCGATTCTCTTCAAGAGTTGATTGGGGATAAGCACAGGTCATTGCCCTGGATTCCAGATTTAAAACAGGGCGAGCCCCTATCAAATGCATGTATTTGCCATCATGTCGAAGTGGTGGTATAAGTTCCTCAAAAGGATCTAGAAGTCAGAAGAATCATCTTTCTCAGTTAAATCACAAGATGTTGCATACTTTTTGATCTTTTACTGACAGACAGTGAGGGGAAAGTATGCTTCATAAAGCAATTTCATCATGCTTATGAAGCTGCTAGTAATTTCTTGCCCTGCTCCCATCAGAGTGGGTAGTCCTGAGTCTCTGGAATGTTGCAGAGCAAGAGTGCCTGAAAGCAATACTCAGGAAAAGACAGGCAGAGTCTAAGCAACAAGTTGTGAAATGATGGCAAAACTTCAAAATTGCCTGTCAGTCTTGTGCATGAGAAGACAGAGCTCATTAACATGAATTTAAAAAGCTGCATGGAACAAGACGTGTATTGATAATTACTGTTTTTTAAACATAATTATTCAGTCTGGTGTGTAAAGCTTTTAACTTTGACTACTACAAAGTACCAATATATGACGGAAAAGAGCAAGGAAAGAAGGCAACAGAATTTGAATATTTTTAAGCGTCTGCAGAAGACGGGGGTAGAGCAATAATATCAGACTTGCTGGCTACACTGTGAGTTTTCAGCCTTTTAAAACTAGGCCTTTGTGGTAGGTGTTTTAAGTAGAAGGCACAGAGGCCTGTCCAATGTATCTTGCTATAAAACAAAATTGGATTCTTCCCTTGAGGGAAGGAAATATAGAAAGGAAGATCATTTCAGTAAGATTGTCATCCAGTACAAAAGTAAAGGGGTCAAAAAAGAAATGAGGAAGGAATTGTATTCTCCAACTGCTTGGCTGACAGTGAGGCTCCCCCACCACCTGGTACCTGACAGAGACTGGGGCATAAAGCAAGAGAAACGCACGATTAGGTATTGGGAGGATGACCAGCCTCATTTTGACAAAAACCATATGTTGTTGATACCAAATGTGTAATGTTGGATCAACTGTAGTGCAAAATCATTATAAGACTCACTGACAGCATGTCTGTTTACACTTTGATTTCCAAAGCTAATTGTTAGATTTAGAAGCAAGATCTTATTATAGACTTTGTTGGGGGGGGGGGCAGCAACAGTTATTGGCAATTTACATATGTTTGAATTTCCTAAATCCTGTCTTTCACAACACTAGATTACTAACCTCAAATATTTTTACATTAAAACCTCTAATCAACATTGAAGACTTTAGTTAAAGGCAAAGGACAAACAACAAATTCGCTGAATCTTAACTACTGTAAACACTACGTGACTTTTACTCTTAAATTATATACATAGATCATATCTGCATATACTAATATTAGGTACATTCACCCTTTTGATGTGATATTTTAATATGCATACAATTATTTTTAAAATATATTAGAAGTTTAAATCTGCAAAAACCATCCCCAAGTGAGTTCTGCGTTTAACGTATTATAAAAAGTCAAAGTAGCAAGAAAATTCAATAGCACATAGAAATCTATTTAAAGATTTAGCTTTGATATATTTGAAAACTTGAGATAATAACAAAAGCTTTCAAGTGGAATTTAGGAACTGTCCGTGCAGCTAAGTCAGTAGACAGAGACAAAGACAGGCCTTGGAACCTGGAGGAAGGCGGTGGATTTCAAAAGGTCAGCCTCATCCTCCATCCCACATTCTATCTCCAGGAAGGCTGAAGAGGTTTGCAATTCCTAAGTACTAACCAATTTCATCAGACTACCTTAAAAAGTGTATTTTGTTTTATTCAAAAGCACTATGGTTTACACATATATGCACTCTAGTTCTACTGAACTGTATTTTATATTTTCCGTTTCTGAAAGATTTTATATTTCAATACCAACACAAAAACAGCTGATTTTTAAAAATATGACATCAACTTCAATTTACTAAAAAACAAAGAGCAATGTCATACAAAGGTTTTCATGTTGGATCTAAGAGTATTTTTACCTAAGTTGGAAGGAATCCCCCTCTAGTGGGAGTAAGGGAGTATTTCAACCTTCACATAAAATTTTCAGGTAGCAGTCATTAACCTTAACAATCAGCAGAGATCAGCTGAGCTTTTTTCCTTTCGTCATCAATTTAAATCTTTTAAAAAAGAAAGTCAGTATTTTATATTTCATAAGCCTAAAACACCTGTAAATATATATATATATATATATATGCTTGTAGATTTGTGGTTATTGGATGGGATTTTGGTTACTAACTAACCATTACCACCAAATTTAATTTGGCTATAAAGTAGTCACAATTTGAACTTAAAACAGGAATGTACAACTGGAAAATATTAGTACATCTCAGTGGAAAGACTTAATAATACACTGGGAAGAGAGAATGTTGACGGTTTACATTGACCTGACTCATTAACAAAGACTTTCTGGATATTTACCGCATACAAGGCATTGTGCTTAACGCTACTGAAAGAGCTAAAAAGTGCCAAATTTTACTCAGGTATAAATACCTGAATGAAATGTATTTAAACATTCATTTAAAAAAATAAATTCATATTCGAAAATGACCAGATGAGATTATTCACAGCGTCATTTTTCTTTCTAAACTTCAGTTTGGGGAGATTTAAAACTGGCCGTGTTATAAAAACCACCCGGAAAAAATGGTCACAGGTTTTATGCAACGTAAACTTAGGACACGATGCCCAATGTCCTCATCTCCACACAGAGGCTGTAACAAATGCAAAGACAGAGCACCCTGATGAGAAGCGCCACCTGCATCACAGGGAGAGAACCTGTCAGGAGTCCTGAGGTGCAAGGTGTGAAGGGGTGTGAGCAGGCTAGCAAAGCAGAGGCTTCCTAAGGCCCTTTCCATTCGATCCTGTTATTTCAAATGATGCTACCATCAACACTTTATAACACCAGGGCCTAAAAGGATTCCGTCTGTAGAGGACTTTGAAAATCACCTGGGAAGTTCAGCAGCAGCTAGAACACTGACAGTCCTCACACTCTGCTTGGCACAAAACCTTCCAGTGGCTTCTGTCTCTCCCATGTAGCCTACTAAGCCCAACCTCTACCAAAATCAAAGCAAACCATTTAATCTCCAATCATTCCATCAAGAAAATCGGGAAAACGTGCATTCACGAATTTGGAAGTGAAATTGGTTGGACTTTTCTTTCTTGAATCACTTCTGAAGTCCTTTCTACTTTCACCTATAAAGGTGAAAGGTGAAAGATTTCACCTATAAAGGTGCTTCATATATAAAGCACAGAATACTGATATCCAGCAGTGCTTCCATTAAAATAAAACTATGCCAAAAGTACGTCCCATTTTAATGAAAAACATTTTTTCCTAAAGTCAGGATCACACTGTCACAAAAAAGTAAAGTGACAGTGACGATATATAATCATATATGAAGAATCTTATTCATAATTAAAGGAATGCAAATCCAAACTCTTAACATTATTCTATTTTCTCACTACAGATTACCAAGATTAAAAATGTTGATAATTATAATATTGGTAAGGGTATGGGAAATCACAACATAGCCTTGCACTCATTATGAGAACATATGTTGGAATAATATGCAATTTAGCGGTATCCATCAAAATGTACATGCACATGATTAAGTGTTGAGCTAATAATTCTACTGATATCCAAGTGCAAAAAATATTTACTAAATTGTTTGCCAGAGTTGTTTGTAACAGTAAAAAGCTGAAAATATCCTCCAACCAAATGACCGTCCACAAGGGAGTGTTTAATAAATTATCATACAGCCAATAGAATACTATACTACTGTTAAAAAGGATAAATCTATGTGTGCAGATAAGATTTCTATAATATTACATTAAGTGGAAAGAATCAGAACAGTGTGCACAGTAAGCTAACATCTGTATTTTTTTAAAAAGTGGGGGTGGGTTCTATGCTTGATATACTTGGACCATTTCTGGAAAGATACGTAAGAGACACATCAGTGATTACTTCAAGGGAGAGAACTTAATATTCATTGTATTTTGTCTTACAGTGTTTAGAATTTTTTCACCATGTGCATGTGTTTCTTGTTCAATTAAAAGTAGTTAACAAAATAAGCCAGTAACATAAAAAATGTCTAATGTCAAAAATAATCACAGAAATGTAAGTAAATGTCAATCGATTTCTAGAGAAATCTATCTTTATGATCTAATTTGTGATCAACTGCTTATAAATTATAAAGTATGTGTACTATGCCATTACTTGAAAAATAATGACAAATTAGAAAAAAATGTACAAAAATAGGGGATGGTTAAAAAAAAGTATGGTACTTCCTATATAGACCATTCCATATTCATAAAAAACTCACTGTTCAGGAAGTCTTCTATAACATAAGAAAATGCTTATAAACTTGTTAGATTTTAAAACCAGGACTAAAAACAGGAATTTGGCATTACAGATATTTCTATCTATCCATTTGCTTCCTGCATGCCTTCTAGCTTATGTGCCATGCGCAAAAATGTCTTCCCCACTCCAGGAGTTTTTACATATTCATTCATGTTTCCTTTTAATATGTTTGACTTCCATGTTTCCCATTTAAATATTTGACCCATCTATATTTTATTTTGAAATAACAAGGGAAGAGGTGAGTCAGCTTTAATTTCCCATTTGGGTAACTATGGGACAGAATGACCCACTACCTTTTCTTCCGTGATCAGAGAAGCCACATCTTTACCATAATTAAACATTAAAATGATACACATTTGGCCTCCAATTCCAGGTAGGGATGGGAAAAGCAAACTTACCCGCGAGGTCTTCAACCTAAAGGGGGATGGGAATTGAGAGGAGGAGACTGATAACAGTACACAAGA